ATTATCTTCATCATTATCTTCATCATTATCTTCATCATTATCTTCATCATTATCATCATTATCATCATCTTCTTCATCATCTTCTTCATCATCTTCTTCATCATCTTCTTCGTTGTTTTCTTCATCATTATCATCATCTTCATCGTTGCCTTCATCTTCATCGTCTTCTTCTAATTCAAATTCATCTTCATCGTCTTCTTCTAATTCAAATTCATCTTCATCTAATTCATCATTGTTTTCTAATTCATCATTGTTTTCTAATTCATACTCTTCACCACTTTGAAAGTCATTCTCCAATTCAAAATTTTCCTCTTCTGCATGAACAGCAAGGAACATAGCAAGTAAAACAAATAAGAGTGTTCTCATTAAATCCAATAAAATATGGTTTTGAGATCTTGAGATAAAACTTATATTGATTTACTATAATTTATTAGTTTATATATTATAATCATTTATAAATAAATTGTTTTGTTGATTTTTATTTTTTGTTCAATACAACAAAAGAAACAAAATGAGTTACATAAAAATAAAAGCCAAAAAGAGGATATCAAACCATCAACTAATAGACAAGAACAGAACAAGTAAATTCATTTAGATTGTCATTCAATGGTATAACAAAGAGCATTAAGAAACTAAGACAATATAACTTCTTTCAAAATTTTAGGAGAATGTAGTTTTGATGAAGTACTTGTCTTAGTTGGGTAACAATAAACACTATTTCACAATTTATTTTATTAACCTAGATAATAATCCAGAAGTACAAGAACAAACAGTCTCTAAAATATAAGAAGCAATGAATGGAATAATCTAATGGTATTGAAAAAGATTTTAAACAACACGAAGTCATCATATTAATGTAATTCAATCAAATGATTAGAAACATAAAGTAATTGAGAGGAGTTTTAAATTGTATAACAATTGAACTGATTTATTACAAACACAAAGCATACAAAAGAAAGAAAATGAAAAGAACAAGTCATTAACTTAAGTAAAATATCTCTCATTCGTATTGTTCAGAATCAAAAGATATAAAAGAACTTGAACTAAATATAGAAA